GGCCTCAAGATAGTAACTCGTGGCCTCAAGATAGTAACTCGTGGCCACAAGATAGTAACTCGTGGCCTCAAGATAGTAACTCGTGGCCACAAGATACTAACTCGTGGCCACAAGATAGTAACTCGTGGCCACAAGATAGTAACTCGTGGCCACAAGATAGTAACTCGTGGCCACAAGATAGTAACTCGTGGCCACAAGATAGTAACTCGTGGCCACAAGATAGTAACTCGTGGCCACAAGATAGTAACTCGTGGCCACAAGATAGTAACTCGTGGCCTCAAGATAGTAACTCGTGGCCACAAGATAGTAACTCGTGGCCACAAGATAGTAACTCGTGGCCTCAAGATAGTAACTCGTGGCCTCAAGATAGTTATAATTAATTTTTTTTACCAAAGTGGGACTAGAGGGGCTCCGTAAATGAGTTAATTTTTCATGGATTTTTTTTTTGCTCTGTTTTTCTGAATTAACGAGTTAATTTTTCATGGATTTTTTTTTTGCTCTGTTTTTCTGAATTAACGAGTTAATTCAGAAAAAAAACAGAGCAAAAACTTTTTTCTCACGAAAAATTAACTCATTAATTCAGAAAAAAACAGAGCAAAAAATTTTTTTCTCATGAAAAAGTAACTCATTAATTCAGAAAAACAGAGAAAAACTTTTTTTCCCATGAAAAATTAACTCATTAATTCAGAAAAACAGAGCAAAAAAAATTCTCATGAAAAATTAACTCATTAATTCAGAAAAACAGAGCAAAAAATTTTTTTCTCATGAAAAAATAATTAATTCAGAAAAACAGAGAACAAATTTTTTTCTCATGAAAAATTAACTCATTCATTCAGAAAAAACAGAGTTGATTTTTTTTCTTCAAGTGAATGCAATACGCCTCCGTACTTACCAAACACAAGACAGATGTAATCCACATTGTGAACAAATGTTCCCAAACTTTCTGCTAAGAAATTAATTGTAAGCATCCAGACTGCGATAGACTTTTATCGCATCGATCTTGTACACGCAAGCAGCCGCAACACGCAATCAAACATATTCGGGCAAACGTGTACACATCAAAGTCTTAGGTAATTCCAATCATTGTTTATTTGCAGTTTTTGGAAATAACTGTTGCCCACTCATCAGTAATCACGCCTCTGGCTCCTGCTATTCTCTCATGGCCCTCAGCCTCGTCCTCCTTGTCAGTCGCCACAGTGTGCATTCAGATAAAAAAACAACAACCCAAGGACAGAAACACACACACACACACACACACATAGTGCAGATGGTAGCAATTTTTAAAAAAATCACTTTGAAATCTCCTTTAATGACAGAAATGATATGCGGAAATATATGTGAATTCCATTTCCTTTCCACAAATTAGATGAAAGACTCTGTAAAACAAAATATTACCAACAACTAACATTACTCTAAATTCTTTTGAGGCGGTGATGACAAAATCGGTTTGAGATGGTCCAGATCCAACTCCTCCCACCTTACATATACCTAAACCTTCCCATCTCCACCCCCTGATCCCTAATCCTACCCATCTCCACCCCTTAGACCTGGATCCAACTACACCCCCCTCTATCTCAAGTACTGCAATGAGGTGCCACTGACCGGTTTTTACAAATTTTGGCTTTTTTTCTTTGATATCTGTGACAGATCTCCTTCATGATGCTTAATTATATGTGCCTTTACCTGATTCAACTGTACAAACCACTTTCCACATTTATTACATCCAAATGGTTTTTCACCGGTGTGAATTCTTAAATGCTCTGCGAGATGAGATCTCGTAAAAAACCTTCTGCCACAATACGAACAGGGATGTTTTCGATCACTTTGTGGCAAAGGTATGCAGTTTTTCACGCTCTGGGGAAGCTTGATTGGCCTGTCAGATTTCCTGTGAAATTTTTCAGGTCCCTGATCAGAAAGACTTAATTTAGTAGAGTCCTGTGGGTTTGTGTCCACATTTACACTGTCTGGTTGTAGAATTATTTCCACATGGGAGATCTGTGAGTCCAGTGGTTCTACTGACCGATCTTCTGCTTGTCCTTCTGTAGGAAAAGAAATGTTATTGTAATGAAGTCTACAAAAATGAGGACAAGTTGGCAAATTACTTGCATTTTTTGGACTAAAGCTCTCATTCATGAAATCCTTTATTCTCTTTCATTTAATACCCCAGGGATTGATCACATTGTGATGGCGTCTCATCAGAAGTTCTGTTTCGTTCACACAAGATGGAGACACCAATTTTAGCATATTGCTGCCACCTAGAGGTTCACAGAGAGAGAACTGGAATTTCTTGTTTCACCGTGATATCGCCATGATAAAGATTATACCAGCGTCTCTCCATGATAAAGATGCTCAAAAAATTGCTTGGAAATCCATCCATACTACACTTATTTACATTTCAGTTAGGATGCTGCCAACTAAGGCAGCTCACTAGGTTTTCAACAAAGCCAGTTTGCACTTCACCCATTGTTGTACAGAATGCAATAGTGCATTCAAGAAGTGTTTAATGAATATGAATTGTATGTTGAAATTAAGATTAAATTAAAATCAGGCAAATGTGTGTGTGGCTTTTCAAGGTTTATGTGGACAAAATCATTAGACTAGTTAAGAACATATCTTTTAATACAAAGATGTTGTGTTTATTACATTATAAGTACTGAAACTACCTGAATACCTTTTGTATTTTAGTTTTGGAATCAACTTATTTTCAGGAGATAAGCATTAGCATTCCCATGACAGTAGTTCCTGTCTTGTTAACATAAGCAGATCTGCTGTAGTAGATCATATAATATATAGAGAGCTGCATTGGGATTGGGATCCCGCAAACCCCAAGTCCCAATGCAAATCTCGTGGGAGAGGGCAGTCTTTGCTGCGGTGGGAGTGGACAGTCAAAAAATACAGCATGGGTCCCACAGTACCACGTAACAAGAAAGAAGTCAACAAATAAAGTTCACCGTAGTTCTCTCCCTCCATAGCAAGCTAGGCCAAGTGATTCATTATTAAATTAATTTGTTAAGTACGTTTGATGTTTTTTAGTATTTAGGCTATTTACTTTTTGCAATATGTTAATTACCTAGGCTACATAAACACCAGTGATATAATTTTTTGTATGTAAATATATATATATATATATATATATATATATATATATATATAATTTGAAATTGATTCAATTAAATTGAGTGCCTGGTTAGGTTACTAGAGTTTTACTGTTATGGTTAATGGGTTTTTGTGTTGTCTCATATACAAATATATATTTTAGGCTCCACTAGTTGTGATGTTTTGTTTTAAAGTTGCAGTTCACAGCTTTTTTGAGTTAAAAATGATCCAAAATACATATTTGAGAAAATACATAACCAGCCAGTGTTCAAAACTATCTGCTTGCCTTAGCTCGATTCAAAGCGGTAAGCTTGTAATAATGTTTTTAATTCCAGTGGTACTGGTGGATTTCCACGGGAGATTCTAGCATGTGTTTGCGTCATTACATCACATCTGTTCCCATAAAGGAGGAGTCTCGGCTAGTAGGCTATATTGCGTGAGAGCATGTTGGAGGTGGAGATTTATAGCCTTTATTCACAGCACTTGATATAATTAAACTTATCAATTTGATGGCGGATCCAGAAAGGTTCAAACGACAATCACCAGTGACAACAGATTCACCCGTTGTAAAATGCTAAAGACTTCGTTCGGACTTCGGAGTGGATACAGAAAAAAAAAAAAACCGGCAACCGGACCCATGCGAAAACAAGGATACATATCGGAAGGACATTACATGTAGTCATGCAATGTTTACGTTCATTTTAACAATTTATAATCAGAACAGAGTATAATCGCACGGTTTTGTGTGATATGATAACTTAAAAGCGATTGTTAGATTTAATCAGGTTGATTAAAAGTGGATGTTTATTACTTGTTCAGATGACGTTTTCCGGTGAAAATTCTTATGTTGGTCATACTTCCAAAAAGAATAATCTGTGATTCTGAATGCCAGTATCGACTGGCACGGCAACTGACCGCCACACACTCTCCTCAAACATTGTGTTCATCCGCGTTGTGCCGTGTTGAGGGTACAACTCGCGTAAAGTTGATAATTCCGCGAATGACTGCAATTGCAGATTGCGACAAAGACGAAAAACGCCAGACTGCAGCTGAGTTTTAAGGCTTATAAAAAGCTGGCTGAATGAATTTGTCATTTGAGGTGCTAGCATTACTTTATGTTATAGTCAGATTAATTAAACACAATTTTTATCTCTGTTGTTCTGAACGTTTAGCATAACCCTAATTTTGGTGTTATTTTTTCACAATTTCTACAAGCATGTTTGCGGGTGCGGGCAGGAGTGGAAAAAAACATGTTGTGTGTGCGGGCGGTAATGGTTAGAAATTCTTGGGAGCGGGATTAAGAAAACAATCTGCACTAATATAATATAAACTGCCATTGGGTATAACAGAATTTGCACCAGAATCACTGCTATCATCACCTAAAACTATAAAACTCAAATTCTTATTGCTTATAAGTGATGTTAAATAAATAAAGGGATTGTTGACCTTTGTTTTGTTGGATAAGAAAAACTAGCAGCATCATGCCATGTGACCCACATTTGCTTTTTAACCTTTGAAAATGTGTAGAATATAATATAGTATGCAAGGAGCCAGACTGAGAACCTCGTATGGCTGGGTCTGTACTAGGGCCTAAAATATGGATGCATCAAAAGGGAAAAGTATATTACTTAAACTGTCTGGAGTTACAGGTGCTGCATAAAGCAATCAAAATATTTTAAATAATATTTCATATAATAACATTATATCATTAAAAAAAAGCAGAGTTCTCTCTAAGATATTTGTTTTGATATTTTAATTTGCAATACAGTATCTAATAAAACATTTTTAAGGATTGATGCATTATGCATTATGCATATGACAGATAGCTGCATTAAGGTGCTTTCTGACATGATTTGATCGAGAAAAACTCCTTCCACATCTTGGGCAGCTATAGCGATAATCACCTGCATGAAGTCTCTCGTGTTCTTTTAAGTTGGATTTCGTTTTAAAACGATTCCCACATGAACCACAGCAGAAAGGCCTCTCCTTTTGGTGTACTAACATGTGTTTTTGCAAATATCCATTGTTCCTGAAAGGCTTGCTGCAAATCGTGCATAATGCACTCTGACCTTTTCGCCTTGCTTTTTGTAACACCTCATCAAAGGTTTCAGGCTCAAGTTGAAGAGACGACGGTTCTTGTTCAGCTAGTTTAAGTTCAACATGACAACTGCTGCCAGAATGCACTGCAGATGAGTTCGATTCACTGGCCTGATTATCACAGAGCTCTGACTTAACTGTGATTGATGACTGTGTATCTTCATTCTTCAGCATCACCACTGGCAGAAGTGAGAGGCACTGTTCCTGCCCTGTGACTGCTTCAGAAAGAGGAGGCTCATGATACATCACACTGGCAACCTCCAACTTCACTTGTATTTCTGACGGTTCTGAACCCGTCTGACCTTGCAGACATCCATTTCTCTGAGTATCTGTGTGACATGAGGCATAAGATTAGTCGTTAAATGTAAAAACAGGGAAACAATAAACAGTAATGCTCAAGTTAATGTGAAATGCAGATCACAACCCAGTTTACTTGAGTAACCTGATGTATTTTGTATCTGTAAAGTTTTCGAAAATCAATTGGACTTCTCTTATTAAATTTACTTTAAAGAACATTAAAATGAGAAACTGATTAAAGAGTCTGTCTTTACTCACAATAAAGCAGTTTACTCACATTAAAACAATGTGATGATAGCCAATTAAAAAGGTTAACAGCATTTTAATGCTAAAACCTTCAACTAAACAGTTAAGGTACTTCAATTAATACCATTTTCATGACCAAATGCATGGTATTGCACGTCACATTAAAACATTGTAAAACCATGGCAGTTTTTGTATAACCAACGTTATTTTTCTCTATAGCAATATGACTTCAATATTGTTAACACTGGATAACTCTCTTTAAGAAAGTAATTATAGATGGAATAGAGTTCTTGTTTATTATTGTTTTATAATAGTGAATGTGGTAGTACTGACCAAGGATTGTTTCTGCACAGCTGCAGTTTCGGCTCCTCAGAGAACAGTTCTCCTGCTTTAGACGCTCTATCTCCTTCTCATATTCAATTATACTGTCTTTTACAGAGTCGAATATTTCATCGGTTACTGCCATCATGCGCTTTATCATAAATGAATAAATAGACTCTAGTCCCATTGTAGACACGTTGGTTTTTCAAGCTATTACGTATTACTCTTCTTCCCCGCAACTACTTCGGTGTGTAACGGCGATTAACACCATTGGGAACATTAGCGCCACCTTTCGAAACGGAGCAGTCGAGAACGTAAGCTGCCTGCTTTGCATTCTGTGTTGCCATTCTATATGAAGAGTTCAGATGCAAAAGCCTCTAAATGCCATTTGAAATTTTCTTCTAAAATGATCATTTGTTCATTAATTTCACTTAAATGGGAATGAAGATTACCTATGAATTGTCATTTAAGTGAAATTACTGAACTTAAATATACAAGCTTGATAAAAATTATCATTCTAGAAGAAAATTTCAAATGGCACTTAGAGGCTTTTGCATCTGAACTCTTCATATATATATATATATATATATATATATATATATATATATATATATATATATATATATATATTTTGTAAATGCTGTATTTTGCCACTGTGGTCTCTATCAAATTTGAATGCCAACAAATTCTTCCACCAGGCTGTTCCCCACCCACCAAAAACTTGACATTTTATAGCCTATAACTTTGGGATCCCTTTTCCCGACACCCTCTCAATATTTCATTTGGTGGGATATATTATGTCTGTGTACATTTATTCATAATTATATTCCCATACTTTTTTGCCTTGTTTTAATTCACCCATACTTGCAGTGCAGATTGCCAATACTATTTTAATGGATTTTCTGTCTAAACCCTGCTGCTCTATTTCTGTCAGGCAGCATTAGGCTACATGTGGCCCATGTTAATTTTTTTTTTTTTTTTTTTACTTAGAACACCCATATTTTTCCCCCTACATTCCCATAACTTTAAGTTCAGGTCATCTTAAAGGACCAACATTCAATTGCATCCTGCATTTTTTTCTATTACTGGTATTAAAAATGTAAAATAGTTCTTTAGACATTCCTTCATCCTTCCAGTCACCGCTAACATTCTTGCCTCTTAACATGTCAAATAAAATAGAAAAAACTAGCCTAACATTTTTAATTTATTCATTGTTTACAAATGGCAAAATATACAGGCTGTCTTTTTATTGTAAACAAGTATGTGGACTGGCACTGACATTTATTATTAATCCACATGATTATGAAAACTCATCTTTATTTACACAATTTAAAGGAATACATGACAGCTGGAACAGCAAAATGTAAGACAACCTCATGCACAGATGCACTACTTCCTAAACTTAAGCCAGCTCCAATTGGCCGTTTCTTAATATGCCTTCTTGTCTGTACTTGTGTTCTTGTGGACTTGTGGAACGTCATCAGTCGCGGCCCAATTACTTTCCCAATACACAAGTTTGCATGGGGGGGGTAACATTACTATTGCGCAATACCAGCAAGAACACATCGTCTCAAACTGTCAGCAGCGTTCTGTGTGCTCGTCACCTCGTGAGTTCGTTCTTCCAAGAACAACTAGCAAGAGCTTTCTTCCCAAGAACACAAGTCTGTTCTTTGCATTCTTGGTTTTGAGAAATGGCCCTTGTTTCCTATCTGCCATTATTGGCCAAACTTGATTAATTCAGGTGTGTCTGATTATTGTTGCCATGACTACTGAGGTCAGGCACACCTGGATTAATCAATTTGGCCAATAATGACAGAGAGGAAACAAGGAGCTGGCTTAAGTTCAGGAAGTAGTGCATCTGTGCATAAGGTCAATTGTGTGATTGTAGAGATGGCAAAAGAAAACTTTTTTTTTTTTATAAAAGTTTAACTTTTATTAACAGATAAGATATTAACAAATCTAGCGTTAATTGGATCTCAAACAGTTTCATTAAGAGTAGTTATATATTCCACCACATGCAAAAACAACGTGGTTGAAAGATACTTTGCGACAGTGGGTTTTCGGAAACAGTCGTGACTAGCAAGTTGATTTATCCAACGATGCATCGTACTATGGTAGTGAAACAGTGAACTACGTCGTTGTATGGGAAATGCACCCCTGATTTTATTACAAATATCTTCATTTGTGTTCTGGAGATGAATACAATTAATGACAGAATTAAAATTTTGGGGTGAACTGTCCCTTTAAGTAAGAAAAGGCACCGTTTTCTTCCCACTTAAGCACTGGGTCAAAGGCAACAATACAATGTTACAGGTAAATCAGTTTTTTGACGATTCCATGATTTCCTATATATTTTTGTAGATTTTTTTTGTTTTTCCACTTTTTGATGTGTACCTATTAAATAAGACAGTTCATCTTACAACAGCACAGCTAGGAAAATATGCCCTCAACATTCTCTTATAAAATGGAAAATATATGTTGGTTTACCTTAAAAAAGAAAGTATGGTTGCCTTTTTACAATTTACACTTTTGAGGTTATTGAAATTAAAGATTTAAGAGTTAATACAATACAATAAATTGTCTTATTAAACAGAAACTCAAAATATTACGTTATCTGAAGCATATTAATTATTTAAGTTGATTTAAAAAAAGAACAAAAGTTATGTAAAGAAATCATTTTTACAGTGCTGAATGCTTGCATGCAATGCTTGCAGAATATTTGCCATTTTTCTTGAAATTACAAAATAAACAATGCGATCAATCACACAATACTATTTCAGGCATACAAAATCCATCGTGGAAAGCAATCGGCTAATTATAATACCAATCCCAAACAAATTGACCAGTTTACCCCACCTATGTATTTATTTATTTGAAACAAGTAGCCCTTCTGTTCAAAATAACCAGTATTGTATAAGAATGTAAACTTCCTGAGGCTTGATTCACAAAAATCTTCTTAAGAAAGAACTTTTTAAAAGTCACCATGCATGAAATCAAAATAGACGATTCTTAATTTATGCTATTTTCTTACATTCCGCTATTGTTTATGAATCATTTATCCGTGCACATCAATATTTTTTAAATATTTAAATATTTAAAATTTCTCTCTCTTGCAACGACAATTGTTTGATATTGTGTTTACTGGCGCGAGCACATGACAACCTGTCACTCACATGAGATCACAGCAATAGCAACAACAAACGTCCAATCAATCCATTCAAGTCCCGATCAACATTTGATCTTGTTCGAGAATCTTGAAGATGTTTAACCTGGAAATATGTCCCAATGACATTTTAATCATGACCACCTTGACTGGAGGCACTCAACATTACAGTGTTGAATGCGATGCATATTTTAATGAATAAATTAACATAACATTTTTGTTCAAGATTCTTTTCAAGTATTTATTTTTTCTAAGAATCTCAAGAAGAAAGATTGGGAATTCAAAATATTCTTAAGTTTTTTTTTTGTTTTTTTTTTGTTACTGAAGAAAAGAAAATAACAAGAAAATAGCAATTACTAATAATTGTATTCTTAGAGAATGTTTTGTGAATCCAGCCCCAGATCTCTAGACTATCTAGTCCCATTCTTCAATTCTTCATCACTTCTGTTTTTGACCTCATCCCTGGGTTACAGATAGAAGCCAGATGTTTAAATGCTGGTCCAAGATCAGAGAACACCTCAGGATCAAACTCATTACTGGGCAGGTCTATGGGGTCAAGGTCTGCAAAGTTTTCAGAGTTGTCATCATAGGCGTAAAGCTCAGGCTCGTAATCAAGCAACTCATTTTCAAGGGACTGTATTGAATGCAGCCTCTGAAAGTTTAGGAACAAATTTGATCAATAAATGAATGAATGAATGAATGAATCAGTGTTGAATTGATCGCTTCCTTGTCTGTAGAATACTGAAGCTGTATCGGCTACTTTGGAACTTACAGTACCTGAAAAAGCAAGCTTTGAAGAGTCGATCGGCTGATGAAATAGGCACTCTGTCCTCTATGTGAGCTCCTCCTGATAAATGTTGAACCCTAAGGGGTGTAAGGAAAGCCCTGTATATTACTGATTTTAAGATTTCACAAGAGAACCATTTTCCTGAACAATAACAGGTTTAGATGTGTTACAATGATTTCAGTTTACCTGGTAGCGGTTTTCACTCTGTATTTGTTTCCACATCTGTTTCTGAGGTACAGAAGACAATACAGTAAATATTGAACTTCCACTTTTACTTTTGAAAAGATCATTATATGAATTACTTTAAAATTAGTCCTTTTTAAAACGAACACTGCTGTATTACCTCAATAGAATAGTGTGATCTGTCTCTAGACCAACTCTCATCCACTTGAACTGGGAGACTTTGAGTGGCTATAACGTTGCTAGATATCTGTGGCCAAGAAATAAAAATAAAATAAAAAATGAATACTATGTAGTATAAAGAAGGACAGTGGCTATATGAGCTTAGTGTTTCCAAGACCTCATTATGCAACAAATAGAAATGTTTATACCCGCTGAATGTCAGAAATCTGTTGAACCCTATTACCGACAAGAGTTGCTTCCTTTGACTGACTAACAGGTGTTTTCTTCAGTAGAATTGTCGGTACCTGTATGAATGTAAATAATAGATGAACAGTCATTTGTTATCTTAGAGAAATTGACTTAGGAACAAAATACAAATAAAAAAAAAGGAAAGCTTCATTTAGCTTTTCATAAGAGATCTTAATGTCAGATATTACCATACAATCAGTGCCAGGTTTCTCAATGTTAGAAGGCAGTAGGGCATCTTCTAAGACATTGTCTACCTCGACTATGGACTTCACAGTCCCACAAGAGCAAGTGAGGGACAGCAATAGGCATGCTAATAGGAAAAATGGCTTTTAGATTCAACATTTAACTTTCTTACAAACAACATCAAATATTACAAATCTTAGTGCACTCCCACAAGTACTACCAAATCATTGCTTTGCCAGACGTTAAAAGGCTGTTAAAAAGTTCTTCAATATGTCCTGCCCCAATAATAATTGGACAACACAGGCTAATAATTGTGTTTCTTCATTACTTTTATGGGATATTTAACAGAATCCAGTGCTTACCCAAAATCATCAGCGCAGCAAAGATGGTAATTCCCATCATACCACTTCCTACTTTTTGCTGTGTGTTGCGCTGCAGCAGACAGTTTGGCGAGACAGCACAATCACATGCAGCAACAGAGAGATTCTGGAGGACAAACTTGCCCTGCTTATCAGAGATTTTCACAATCAGCATGTACAGACTGGCATGAACGCTTTTATCCTTCACTAAATGCACTGTGTAACCTAAAAGACAAAGTAAACAAAAGACAAAAGGTGATGATTAAGGGA